AATCAAATGTGCCGCATGTGTTCTACTTTGCGACATAATCTGTTCAGCAACAGTGCGACACACTTTGAAAATGTGTTTCAAATCGAGTCTTCAGCGCATTTGTCAGTTTTTATGTAGAAACGAATAGTTACTATTTTTTTAATGTAATTCGAATTAGTGATACCTATTCTTAAAACTCAAGATAATTAGATCTTGACATCTAACAATCTCAAGTTCGTCTGACCTTGATCAAATCACTTCAAGGTAGTCTTTTCTCAGTCATCGATCGATCTCTCAACATGTTCTCGACCAATAACTAATCGAGAACTAATCTAGAAAAATGACATACGAACATATATAAGTTCGGTATGTTCAATTGAGTTGATTATATCTAGCTGTAGACACACAAAAAACGGTAAATGAATCCTTAGCAGATCGACCACAACATATTCTTATTGCGACACATTTTCGTGGTAGTCTGTGGCACTATAAGTAGCGACACATTTTATTTTAGTGTGCAACATGATAACTATTCATTAAAATTTAAAAAATTTTTGAATTTGATGAAGTCACATGTATATGAAGCTTTTTACAATACGTTTTATGCGAACTTCAAAAGAGAAATCTTGTATTACAACAGTATCATAGAATAGCCGTTGGTTTGTAAAGATCAATCATATCCATTAAAATTAAATTACAAGAACGAATTGATTTAAAAGTTTTTGATACAGCTTGTTGATAATAGATTAATACGTTTACCAACTAACAAGAAAAGTGTTGCTAAAATAATCATTTATTCAATTTGTTTAATACAGCTATTTCTTATATTTACTCTTGTTTCGACCAAAAGTTTCTATTTTATCAAACAATCAGTTATTTTATTCAAGAAAATATTGAAGTTTTGATGTGGCGTCAAGTTACTGAATGTATTGAGATGATAAAAATACAAAGTTTACATGAAGACCGCTTATTCAATAAATCAACAAGCTTAAAACCAACATATACAGTAGTGTAGAAGCCGTAAAGTTGATTCCACTATCAAACTTTCAACAGCGGCACTCACATGCCCCTTCCCCCACACCAACAGACTGGCTCCTTCACCAGCACCCCACACTCTCAGTTGAAAGTTTAATAGTTTAATAGCTGAAGAAGAAGTTGAATAGCTGTAAGCAGTTTTCGACTTCTACATGTGGGCTTTGTTTTCACTGATTCAATCATCAAATTTTAAGAATCGCATATGTTTTCTGTAATCCTTACCGCTTTGTAACCCTCTTGCTGAATCAGTATTTTCATTAATGAAGCAGTTATCAAATGGATGGATATGGATGTAGGTGTGGGCAACATATGAAATAGCCGGTTCACAAATCTATGTTACCATTTTATTATGCTGAACATCAATCTTCTAATCAACCATTACATGATCAACTATCGAATCAAAATGAGTCCGTTAACCAACAGCAACCACAGCAAAACTATCAATACCGTTCACAACCTTCTGATTCATCCGCTTAACCACTGTTGATGCCGGAAAATGTTCAAGGGAGTCAGTAGTGTCGGATAAACCGACTGCGACAACAATCTTTTCACATGATCTATCATCGACTGTACCATTGATAAATCCTTCTCCACTCATCTGTTCTACTTGTATTAATACTGGTTCAATTATAAATTTATCTACAACTTCATCGTCGTTACCACCTTCATCAACTGATATGAACTGTGATAGTACATCTTCTTCTACAGCCAGTATTATCATAATTTCATCCTCTGCAATCTTATTTAATAGCCAAAGCTAAAGTCAATGATATACGTAATGTTGAACTTCTTGATACAGAATCTGGTCTTACTATTATTAGCTTTCAACATTGGTCGATTATTGCTGAAAGATCTATTCTACTAACATCCTACGACGATCCTGATGTTCATGGACCTGAAGGGTATTTTATTTGTTCTGTAGGATGGATAACGGTTGATGTTGCTATTACTCGTATTTCTATTCAGCATGAACTTGTTTTCGAAAAAATTTGACACGTTTAGTTATGATCAGTAATGATTCTATGAAAGCAATTGTACTTGTACTTGGTGTTCCATGTAATGTTCTATTTGGTGTCCATCTGAATTTAAAGAAAAAACAACAACACTCGATTGCAAACAGGAATTGGGAGCTCTATGGAGGACTTCACAATTATTTACTAATATATATATACATATACAGCTTGTCCGGCTAACGGTCCACCAGAACAACTAAAGTAGGACCTAAGTATTTTCAAAAGCTGTTTAGCTTCCTATTGTAGAGCACTCTTTGCTGTATTAGGAAACGATCTTTATTTCATCTATTCTTCATCTATGCAAAAAAGCTATGTACAAAACAAGTTTAACACGTTTCTTTTTAAAGTTTTGCCGTTTCTGTACAATCGAAGAAAGCGATGGAGGAAAAGCAAAAGTGCAACTAAAATCCAAATAGTGACATATATGCCAAGTATGAAAGACGAGAAATTCCTTTTCACATAATTTTCACCAGGTCCATAAGTGTTAGAAGAACGCAGAGATTACCTCCAAACTTAATAAATTCTGATGCAAATGCATTGCGAAACAGAGCTCTCAGTTTGTTCTTCACTACGATCACAGACAATTTTCCAGCCGATCAAGGTACTTCGGTAAGTTTTCACATGCTATTCAGTGAAACACTTGTTTTGAGTTATTCATTTTTATAAGCAAAAAATGATAACGTACTCATGCAACCATCATTTAGATATGTGAAGTATTTTGACTTTATGATTGATAATTTCAGTTTTTGACTATCACACAACTTTCAATCTGGTCGTTACATTGATAATATTAAATGACTTTTCTATTAGCACAAAATTAGGAAATATTACAGTAAAAATTGACTATACTCGTGATAATTCCAAGACGCACCACGCAAATTCCATGAATATGTAGGTAATAGAAGACATAGTAGAAAACTTCAAGCAATTGTTAGAAGTCATGATCGTCAATTCTAACAAAGCTCTATTATATAGGGTGTTCAGAAAGTAACTCAACAGACAATAAAACTAAGTATTTCTGCTATACTTAATCTTCATAGACTGTGTTTTTTTCTGAATACACCACGATTCTACGTTTTTAATCATAAAGACGAGGTAGAGAAGCAGTGCTCAGAAGTATGATTTAAGTAAAGTAGAGATATTCGATTTTTTTTGCTTGTTGAGTTACCTTTTGGGCATCCTATAAGTCATTTTTAGAAGTTCCTCATTTCAAATATAATCGATCACTTCTAGGAAATTAAGAATATGTTACGTTAATAATAAAACTAAAAGTAATGCCTAAAGAATGGCATATTGTATTGAAATATTTAGATCGAAGAATTTGAAGTATTTTGAAAAAGAGAAAAGAAGTTTTTGTTGTTGGGATAGAAGAATTAGCTAGTTGTCTAAGAATAGAAGTTTGACAAGAAAATACGAGTACATTTCGTCAATATTCAGATTACATGAAGTATATAACACTTTACCTTTAAAAAGCAATTTCTGTAGTAGATTGGCTTAACTTCTCATTGCCAAGTTGCCCTTGGCTATGTATATTCATAGTCCCCGAAGTCACTGAAAATTTAGTATATTTGACACAACGAGAAAAGAAGTCCTTTATGTGGATACACTACTAGCATGCAATATCTCTTCATAAAGACAAAGTATAAAATCAATTGATGCAGAACATATAGAAATTAATCATCTTAGCGCTAATAAATAGTCTAAAGTTCCAAGGCTCATTATTCTTTATTTATGAGATGATCACAAAGCAAAATGTAAGTGTATTACCACAGTATCTATTATATAGCTTTCTTGCAACATAATATTTTTGAAAACACTTTTTGCCAATCGAAAGTCGTGGTTCTCAGTCACAGGCCAACTCTTGGCCATATATCTTTATAGCCTCATCGTTCAGAAAAAATTTTATCTTTTCTATACGGATATTAGTAAAACAGGCTCCGACCCATTCGAAGCGCCATTTGAGTAGAAATTGATACCAGTTGATAGAATCTTGAAATTTGGGGTCTACTGGATCCCCCTCTAAACTATTTTGGAAAACATTTCACAAAGATAAAATGCAAAACATTTTTAAAATGGGCCACCAGGACCCACTCTGAGTTAAAAGCTAAAATATATATATATATTCGGAAAGTTAAATCAAATGTGGCTCTGTTACATATTTTTACGCACTAGATGCATCATGCATTCACTACAACTTCACATAACGTCACTTTTGTCGAACATTTATTTATTTAGCTTTTAGCTCAAAGTGATTTAGAGTAGGCCGTTTTTAAAAGATTTTGCATTTGATCTTCGTGAAATTGTTTTCAGAAAACCTCAGAGTGAGATCCAGCAGATTCAGCATCCCAAGTGCTATCAACTGATCATTAGTGTCAAACTTGAATTCAATTATTGAATACTCGAAGTTCAACTATTTAACTATTCCAGTATTCAATCATTACATTATTGCTTTTCAACCAGTCCCTTCGCCGCACCCACACCTGAGATCGTGATGTGTGTTTCTCTATGGTGTGTGTTCTCTTGAGCGCAGTTGAATAATTGAGTACTTGAATAGTTGAACTTCAAGTATTCAATAATTGAATACTTGAATTCAAGTTCCAAGTTGGACATATATGAATTACACTTGCTATATTTTCTTCGAAAATATAAGTCAGTTCCACAAAAAGCAAACAATGTCCGTTGCGAGTCAAATACGATTGTAAAAGACCTGAAAAAGAGACAGTATGGTGGCAAGTATTCTGTTGTGGGGAGGGGAGGGGAGGCTATATGTCAAACTTGAAAGTTCAATTCAGTTGAAAACAAATTGAAACTTGGAAAATTCAATTCCAAGTATCAAGTCTTAACTTCCAAATAAACAAAGTCAAACTCGATGCGGGTGCCACATAAATACACATATACCACACCATTCTCGATATGAGTACTGCAAAAGCATAGACAATTGAAAGTTCAATGGTCAAACGCGAGACTCGAAAATTGAAATACGACAGTTGAAGCGTGGAACTTAAAACTTGAATAGCCAATAGTCTCAATCCTGTTCATTCGTTGAGGCCGCTATGGCTGAATGGTTAAGATGTTCGACATATATCCACAAGATATTGTGCTCGAATCTCGGCGCCATCAGGCATAGAATGACCTTGGACAAATTACTAACGACTATTTGTCTCGGACCACCCACCCGATAGCACGCTGACTACGTGTGACATACACAAAAAGCCCTTGTGGCTAGCTTGTGGTTAGTCAGTATGCATGGGGAGTTTAAGTGATTAACCGGGAGGAACTTTGAGTCAGGCTGGCCTTCTGTCCAGAGCTGTAGCTAGTAATAGTTGTAGGAAAGCACTGGTCTTTCGAAACTGTCTTTGAACAGCACCCTATACTGAAAGGTAGCCGAAAGGCAAGTATATTCTTCTTCTTCTCATTCGTTGAGAAATCCTGCAAGGATCCTGCATGTCCATGATTCTGCCAAGTTTTACTAAGAATCTTGTCTCAATTTCTGTTCCCAGGATTTCTCACAGTTACGGAGGATCCTTACAGGAATAATAGAGAGAATTTTGTCTACATTTTATCAAATTTTACACAGGATCTGATGTGGATCCTGAGAGGAGAATCGAGTCAACTATTTCAGCTGAGACCGAATAAGATGAAAATCAGGAAACCAGAAGATCGAGAGCCCATCAGTTGCTATCTGTCATATTTCCTATAAGATCAACCCACATTCACACTCACCACCACATCTTGCTCCTAAAATGATTTCTCATTGAAAAACAATGGTAATCTGTTCAGGATACTGATGGAATCATGTTTCAAATTCTGCCAGGATCTTGAAACTCGATGGCTACACACTTTTTTCAAGACTTAATCGTTTCCTCAGAAAAAAAGAGCGAATCCTGGAAGGCTTCTACTTAGATCTGTTAAGGATCTGACACAGAAATATCAAGGATTTTCCCTAGAGGCAGTTGTTCAATCGAATTCGCCTTTCAAGTTTCACACTACTGTTGAACACTTGGATAATTGAATAGCTGGACACTTGAATACTTGAATAAGTGAATAGTTTAACACTTGAATGCATGAACACATGAGTAATTGAATCGCGTGATACTTGAAGAATTTGAATAGAGGAAAAGTTGTGCATTTGAAAGTGATCGTTGAACACTTGAAATTCAATCCTTGAAGCGTAAAGTATTCAATAATCGTATTCAGCTTTTAAGTTTGACATGCACACCTTTGCTTAGGGATTCTTTATTGATGACTCCAACTGAAAAAGGAAATTGTATGACAACGGAGCTGATATCAGTTGAATAGAAAATATGTCTCACTTTACCTTATGTGTACGGGGATGGGTTCAGTCCTGTTTCGTCGCCTAATTAGAGATCTATTAGAGGAATTTTTCCGTTGATCGGCAGAATTTTTTCCTGTTCCATCGACAGTCTTTTCTTTCTTGGATAGGCTGCAACCTAAGAATTAAGCATTTGGTCGACTAGCCAAAGGCTCAATTAATTAATCACATAAATAATATTCATTGTTCTTTAGGAAGTGATAAGGCATTGTAGAAGTGAACCACTACTAGTGTTTACTAGGTGATGATCCGAAAGAATAAGAATATATCAGTAAACTGATTAGAAAAGATTAATTTGCATTAGAGAAGACAACTTCGAATTGACGAAATCAATAAATAATGATGACCATGAAATTGAAAAAACTGAAAGAGAGTTCTTTCTTTCTGTATTTATTCACACTCAGGTATGTGTGGCTGTAGATCAAATGGAAGATCACAATCACCCGACTAAGAAACACCGACAAATCACACTAATACCCATATCTAATTCAAATTATCAAAGAAAGATAAAAATTTAATGCTTTTTTTTATTCCTTTGCCATGATTATTGTATCGATTTCATCTATTCGAAATTATCTTCTCTAATGCAAATTAATTTTTTCTAACCAGCTTACTGATATATTCTTATTTTTTCGGATCATCACCTATTAAAGACTAGTAGTGATTCACTTCCACAATGCCCAATCACTTTCTAAACAAAATGAATATTCATTATGTGATTAATCCATTGAACCTTATTCAATAGATCAAACATTTAATTATTAGATAGCGGCCTATCCAAGTAAGAAAAAAGTTGTTGATGAAACGAAACGATACTCAGAAATGTATAAATATGTATTTGTTATCAATATAACGATTATTGATCATTGCGCTTCACTTCATATTTGCTGTCCTCTTCGCTATATTCATATTTTGACCTAGTGATCAACTCTATGTATTCTATAGTGTGACTTTTTCTGTTTCTTTCTGTGTACTCATGTGTGATCTTTCTGTGTTATAAAAGAAGATGTGAACTAAGGAACGCCACGACTACAAACGACAAAACACACCATCATGCCGACAGGCATAGGCGACACATTCTCTCAGTCTGTCACAATCAAGACTTGTCGCATGTAATTCAGTCAGATGAAAAATATACGTTCAATAGAAAATATGTTCAATATTTCTTTTTATCTGTTTAATTAGTTTGTTCTTAATTTTCTACAACAAAGGCTAGAATCGGATATGACAGTTTCTTATTAGTTGACTGAGGTAAAGTTCAAACATAGTTTGCTAGTATAAACAACCTTGTCGCTTTTGTTTTTGCTTTTTGACAATAAAACTTCTGTCATTTTCTGCTTTCTGAACATTGAAAGATGGGTACACTTTTTTTCAGTGTCGCATTTGGTACACTTATTTATTGGCGCAAATTTTTTCAAGAATTCTATCTCATTGATCTATCACTTAACAGAATAGAAAGAGATAACAAATGCATGCAAAAATCAATTCGAAGTAGAAGATAAACAATAATATACACATATCAAAAATGATATATACTGTCATAAATCTAACATCTATTTATTTATCGTCCGCGTTTTGATATGGTTTATATGTAAATTAGATAATTTATGCTCGATCATATCATAGTCTAGAACACAGTGCATTATCTCAAAGTCGAATGATAATATAATTATGATAATTTGCTTTCTAATTTATTGTCAAATGCATTATTTGAATGTTTTTTTTTTTTGACTTCCAATATAAAACCAAGTCTTTGTCTAGTAAAAAACCTGAAGCATATATATTTGTATCGAAAAGCGTCTTTCAATGGCCCCTATGCGTGAACTATTTCAAATAGAATACATGAACTTTTTTTTTCTGTTCAAATTAGTCGGTTATATCCGCCGACCTTCGGTCGATATTTTCTTCGTTTTCTTTCTTTCTTTCGTTCTTTCTCTCTCTCCTATTTAAATACCAATCAACATTCGAATAACAGACTAAATAAATCTATCTGTTCTATACAAACTAACACATGCCCGACACTAAATAACAAAAAACGTTAACTTTTTTTTCTGTAGCTTATCGTCTCTTCCTTCTATTTTATTTCAAATTACAAATGAATCCATCAAATTGTTCACCATTACTCGTTCAGAAAATGTTTCAATCGTTATTGTCTAGCACAACTTCACCAATTTCTCCAACTTCGTCTCATCAAAAACTAGCTGCAGCAACAACGTCACAGCCTTTAACATCACCACCTTCAAAAAATTCTATTCGTTATATTGAAAACGATCAAAATGGTCGTCGAGAAAAATATGATGGTCATCGTTGGAGACTTGCTTGTACATGGAATACATATGAGTGTACAAATATTGCTTATAGTAATCAATTATGTAATAAACATAATGCATTACGGCGAAATAAAGAATTACCAAAAAGAAAACGGAAACCATTACTAACTCATACATCATTACCGATCAGTAATAGATTTTGTTTTGCTATTTTGTAAAATTAATAATAGAAAGAAAAATAATTTCTTTTTCATTTTAAGTGAATCAATACAATGCAAATGATGAACACGATGATGATAATGACCTTGAAATTCTTGAAGAATATTGTAAAGTAAGAAATAGAAAATTTTTATTTATTTATTTTTTACTATTTTTTGTTTAATATTTTTTATGAATTAATTAGAATCCAACTAATCGTTGTTCTCTGAGCAGTAATATTAAATCAGAAACTCATGAGTTTAATATATTTTCTGTAGAAAATATCAACGATGGTAATATATTTGACACCATTAAATCAGAACCAAAGGTAAGTGTTGATATTATTAAATATTCAATATTATTCATTCGAGTCCCTCAAAAATGATACTTTTCTCATTACTTGATGAGAAAGATAATAATTTTGACTGGTTCAAAGAATAACAATGAACTGCTCGATTTTGTTCTTATCTTCATTTAACATGTCTGTTATTTTTATAAAGATATAGGTTAGACTGAGGATAAATTTAGATAATGTCAAAAATAATTCATAAAGAATTTTTTTTTTTTGTCTTTGATCTAATCGATTCATCGCTTAGGAAATGTTTATACGAAGATTGAATGATCAATCAACTATTGTAAAATAATTGGCAAGGTTAAATATATCTGCTACTTGGATCTGAACATTTTTTTTCGATATATAACAGATCGAATATATAATCATGTGAAGATCAGACTATTGATATCAGCATGATGACTGATATTCAGATTTGTAAAGTGTCAGTTGTTTTTTTCTTCATCAATAACATTCTGTAGATAATTAACCATCTGAATGTGATTATATCATCCTATAAAGTATGCGCTGTTTTTTTTCTCACCAATTTTGTATTATAAGCTTTTTAAATTGATAACCGGAGCACCAGGAATTCATAAATCAAGATGTGAAATATGACATGTTTATAATTTCATGTCATAATAAAGAGGAGCATTTTTCGTTTTGTTTGTGGTTCATTTAGAAAGTCTTTCACGCAGATCACTAGTCAAACTATCTAATGTATAGAATGCACAGATCGATAAATAATAGGGTATTAGAATAGCTGTCTTTTATTGAGATAATTGTAGCTTTCAAACTGTATTTATTTTAAAATTTTAGAAATATTTTTGGTTTTATCAAAACACTAATTTGTAATTGAGAAGTCAATTGTTTACATCGTAATCAACGAAGAATTTATTTCCTAGTTATTCTAGGAAATTATGAAAAATCTGCCTGACTTCCTAAGCTTTAAGGCATTATTTTTTACGAAACTCTAGTGAAGAAAGTATGTATATAAAAAAAAAACATGACAGTAAAACGCTTTCTTGTTTTACATGTTTTATATTTCGATCAAAATAAATATCTGTTTAATAAAATTTTGAAGTTTAGAATACAACTTTCGATTCGAATACAGTTGAAGATGAGAGTTAAAAGTGATTAGATCTCATCTGTTTTTTCTTGTTAAAGAACGATTCATCTATTTACCTGGAATCTTCTCGTATTGACACGAATTTCAATTTATTAAAAATATTTTTCTAGTCTTGTTTTTGAATCAGATACAGATGCTGGTTGATCTAGAGTTGTAAACAGCTGATCTGGTCCGATCAAGCATTCTTACTAGTCGGTAGACATAGTTTTTTGTTAACCATTCGACTTAGTTTTTTTTTTTCAATTTTTTTAAAACTTATGTTGAAGTTTTCTTGTGAGGGAAGATGTTCGTGATTGTTTTCTTCAATGAAACTTTGTCATACTATAATTGATTCATTTTATTAACTCACACTGACGGTATCAGAATAAAATCAAATATTTGTTGAGCATTGTAGTTTATCATATGTCTATTTATTCTTCCCTACTGTTTATAGCATGTTATGTACACAGATATAAGAGATAACAAAACGAGTACGAGCAGATTACGTATACAATTGTTTAATAATCAGCGTTGAGAAAATCCAAATGTTAGAAATCAGGACTTGATCAGGAGATTTTTCCATGAAACTGAGTGGAAAACGTGAAGATTTTATTGAAATATCCCTAAAGAAAAGAGAGTATTAGAGAGTTCTATCGTAGAGAAGTAAAATGATCATTGTTACAAACTTTAATTTTTTTTATCAATTGAGTAATGAGAATATTTATGTCACATGTGAAATAGAGAAAAGAGAGACACAATCAGGTTTGTATCTGAAAATCTCCAATAAATCTATGTATATCGAGCGCAATACAATGCCGCATCCATGCTTTCGACAACCAAAAAAGTTGAAAAAAGATCGGTTAGGAGAACTCTGAAAAACTAGACGATTGAAAGGTTATAGGCATTTGGAATATTTCTTATTTCGCATTCAGAGTGACTTTTGCTAGAAAAAATGTTGATCGGTAACGATCGAAACACACCGCAACCATTATAGAATAGAGTGAACGCGAATGAAGTCATACTTTCTAATGTTAACCAAGAAAAATACAAATTGAAAATGGAAAGTAAATTAATTAGAACATCATTTTCATGATGTTGTCAGCATCACTATATTTTTTTGACAAGCAAAATTCACTTTGAGAAATCTTGGTCATTTCGTAAGTAGTTTGCACTACTCAACGAGTGCAAAAAGTCAGAAAAAAGTATTGCGTATCTTCGGAGCAGCTATTCTATTTCAATTGGAGACAACTTTATTGAAAGTATCAAAGCACTGTTCTATCGGGGTCCGGCTCCGAAAATTTTGAACTTGACAAGTTCTATCGATAGATATGTTAATAATGTTCGTGTCTGATAGACAATTGATGAAAAAGAAAATAGTATTAAATGCCAAAAAGGACTAAGTCGTTGATGTAGTGATTAGAAGGTAGATTATAACTAATCCCGAGATTGACCTGATTGTAGAAGAGGCAAAAAAACGAACAATGACTCATGCTGGTTCATCCAGTGTGGTTTGACCATTTCGGTCGTACCGGTATCGATAAGAAAAAAATTCTGCCGATCGGAACATTGCTTTAACCTATGCTTCTTTCTTCTTTTCTTTCACTTAGGTTTCATCAAGTTATTCTTCGATTACAAATAATGATGTTGAATATATTAGCTCAGGAATTCGTTCTAATGGATTAAACATTACGGAATCGGTGTCAAAAAACATTCCGCCATTGACTGAATTTGAAGAAGATTGTATTGCACATCGTCTAATGGAAAGATTTCCAACTAATTGTCGAATGCTTGATGCACAACTTTTTCTACATGCTGAAGCACTTGCAATTGTGAAAAGGAATTATCGACTAAAGGTAATGATGAAAATATCTATATCACAATACGGTTCCTATTTCAAAATAGTGAAAAAGAAGTCAGAATTTCGACAAGAGATATAAATAAAGTTTGCTCAATGGAAAAGAAAATTTTTTATTTTTTTCAATGTTTATTTACAAGCCATATTTTTATTGATAAAATTCATAAAAAATATTCAATTGAATATTTTCTTTTTATAGATGGATACAGTTGCACCGGAATATTTCTATGATTTTCTTCTTCGTCATCCCCAAGTAACACTTCATTATGGCAATTGGTTTCTACGATGTAAACCTATACCACCAACAACTGGCTGTTTAATTGATACAAAAGTATGGACCTTAAGTATGACAGTACGAGGTGCCATGACATCTGATAGTATGACTGATGAATGCGCTTAATAATTTTTGTTTTTCATTTATTCTTGTTCGTAAAATTTTTTCTGTTTGTTTTGTTAATGATACGCATTCGTTTCGTTTCCTTTTTCTATTATGTAGTAGAAATATGTTATGTTGTGAAACACAACACCTTTTGATGGAATCTATCCATGTAACGTTATATGTATTTGTCGATCGAAAAACATCAAATAAAACTTACTTGATATGAAATAATACAATGAATGAACTAGTTGTTTTCGTATTGACGAAGTAAATCAAAATGGGCTTCAGTTATTTTTTATGAGAAATATATGCACATTATCTTTATCTTTCTTGAGATAACTTTAATATTTAAATTTTTTGTGAAAAGGTGAATTGTAAATTAATTGGAATGTGTTAAATTTTAGAAAGACACGAGAACATCAGAATCTAAGAATTATCGAAAGTTCTCAAAATAAGAACGTACTGTTTTCCAACTTTCGGAAATAATACGTCTATACTGATTTAAGACTTTTTTCTTTGATCTACGTGGTTAAGAGAATGAAATCAAAGACATAATTTGTCGACCAATTCTACTTTTTTTTCTGAAAAATCACTGAAAAAGAGTGCTGGAGTACAAAATTTGATTTCCTCCTGCCTCACAGACCGCGTATGAATAACGTGTCATTATAATATATGAACTAGTTCCTTGTTACGTTTTTGTAGGATTTAGTAAAAAAGTGATGAAGAAGTGGGTGATACAATATATAGAATAAAGCAACCTAGTGTGATTAACAAAAGTAGTTATATCGTGCTGTATACTTTAATCTGAAAGGGAGTGTGGTAACAGCTTTTTTTTATGTTCTAACTTCTGTTTCTTTTTCTTAATATCTTACTCCAAATCTGACCAAGTAGTAGATTCGATATATGCATAGGTCTATGATCTAAACTCTAACTTATGTCATTATGCTTATAAGCAATCATTCATATGATGGACGACGGATAATAAATGAAGTACTTTCGTAATCAGTTTTTCGTTTTCTCATGTAACTGTGTGAAATTTCAAAAAAAAAGATCATTTAATAGAGAATCTAATTCTCTACGAAACCTGCCATCTTTAATTTACAGAGCTTAGTTATCTTCGAAACAGTATTCAATATATAAACAGATGCGAATTTCAAAGCTCTGTTAGGTTCTTTTTGTCTTGTTTGTAAACGTCATTTGCTGCCACTTCGAACCAATATATTCAATATTTGCAGATGACTAGATAGGATATTTAGTGCTCCATCGATCTCGCTGATTGATAAGTTCACCTTCTTTCTTAATATTCATCTACGCTCGCAATTCATAATGAAGCTGCTTTCTTTTCTGTTTTCTTTTGAAAAACTTAATTTCTTCAGTTTTTCGTACGCATAAAAAGTTTCCCTTTAAAAAACGAACTAATGCACAATTTAGTTCTGAACAAGTTCGTAGAATTGAAACCCAAAATTTCTAGAACTTTTATTGCCATACAGTCAAAAAAACTGAAGAATACGAAAGATGGGTCCAAGAATAAGGTTTTTCTTGAAGCCTTTAGCTATTGTTGAATTCGAAAATTTTTTCTCAAAAAACTTTAAAAAATTCAGTTGCGGAAAATGCATCATTCAATCCAGAATTTTCTCATAATGTTAAAGCTCACAAAGATGCAGTAATTAAGACGGAGAATATGTTGTTTTCGAACTTTAAGCATGGTAACTTGTGAAATTCACATCTCTGCATATTTTGAATACTTTTCTGAATATAACTGAGCTCTGTAAATTTAATATAACAGGTTTCCTAGAGAATTAAATTCTTTATCGAATGAGTCTTTTTTGAAATTTCCAACCGTGAGGTCAAGTAGTCGAAAATCGATTACAATGGTGTCTCATTATGCAAGCAACTTTCGTTAAATATCAGTGCTATACGCGAGCTCAATACCGAATTCATTTGAAACGTTAATGTTCAGTCGTCTCGTTATCAAGGTTTTATTGTTTTTCAAATTCTTGAAAATGGAATGTTTTTTTTGCTTGCTATTCATTGAAATACAACCTTTTTCGAGAATCGAACTATTGTTGTTTTACTTTCGTTGAAGAAAACAAATACCATTCAAAGAAAATTTATTGATCTACATATTAAAATACAAATATTTATCCTAATCATGTATAATCATTTCTATTTATTACACACATATCTGTTGGACGTAAACGTATTTGAACTGACACAAAGGTGAACTAAAACACTAACTCAAAACTCCACCACTCTGTCAGAAACTTACTTTTTAATTTCAGAATGACCGATCATGCTTTGATTTTTACCAAATATATGTCCTATCGTAGATAGTTTATAATCAACTTTTGAGCAGAATATATTAATTTTTTTGAGAGGTATACTAATAATTAAGGTCACATAGTAGATGTTCATATGGCAAGTATTTTTACTCTAAATCTAATGATACAAGTTTGGAGCGAGTATCAAAATGTAGCCAAGATCTCTAACTACAACTTTACAGTGTCAGATTTTTTAAACTTCGCTTTCATGATTTCGTCGGAAATTTTGATTCTCAAATTATGAAAAATTAGCGTGACATACTTGTAATGTAATCATTTTACTCGAATATAAACCAAAAAAGTCAAAAACTTGACTGTGTGAAGTTTTAGCGTGTGGCTATTGCTTCATTTGAAAATATTTTCGAGCTTCCTAACATTTAAAGCGAGTCAGGAATCTTTGACACACAAATAACAGAAAAATCTATGTTGAACTAAACGCGAAAACAGTTTCAACTTGCAAAAATTAAGTTTTGTCTTGACAATGTCTATCTTGTGAGTGAGGTGTAATGTAACTTAAGTGCGTAGCGTGTCAGTGATAGGAAGATTGTGAAGAAAATACGTTCAAGCGCGCATCCATAATCTCAAGTGATTCTTTTCTGGTTCTTACTGCTTCCATAAAACATTTATCAAACCATGGAAACTGCAGTCAATAGGATAAGTCATAGGTTTTCCGAATATAAACAAACTGAGATATTCAACGAAGCAAAAAACTTTAAAATTGAACCTTTTCATGAATATCATGTTTCACTAGTAGAAGATTCAACCTTAANGTCAGATTTTTTAAACTTCGCTTTCATGATTTCGTCGGAAATTTTGATTCTCAAATTATGAAAAATTAGCGTAACATACTTGTAATGTAATCATTTTACTCGAATATAAACCAAAAAAGTCGAAAACTTGACTGTGTGAAGTTTTAGCGTGTGACTATTGCTTCATTCGAAAATATTTTCGAGCTTCCTAACATTTAAAGCGAGTCAGGAATCTTTGACACACAAATAACAGAAAAATCTATGTTGAACTAAACGTGAAAACAGCTTCAACTTGCAAAAATTAAGTTTTGTCTTGACAATGTCTATCTTGTGAGTGAGGTGTAATGTGACTCAAGTGCGTAGTGTATCAGTGATAGGAAGATTGTGAACAAAATACGTTCAAGTGCACATCCATAATCTCAAGTGATTCTTTTCTGGTTCTTACTGCTTCCATAAAACATTTATCAAACCATGGAAACTGCAGTCAATAGGATAAGTCATAGGTTTTCCGAATATAAACAAACTGAGATATTCAACGAAGCAAAAAACTTTAAAATTGAACCTTTTCATGAATATCATGTTTCACTAGTAGAAGATTCAACCTTAATAAGAAACTGTACCTGAACAGAATTTTTTTATACAAGTCAAACATACTTTTGAATCATTCAGAATACAACTCTCATACTTCAATAACAATAAGAAAACAGAACATATGACACATGCATAATAGTTAACATGGTCATGTCAATGAAAACCTTATGGTGTTCTTTCAGATTTTATATGAATCAATAACCGTTCATTGAAAGAACTAAACATGTAACCTTTGGTTTTCTTTAGCTAAACATAACAATTGTTCTCTTGACAAGCAGTCATCGCTCTATGCTATTTCAATATTAACAGAACAACACGGTAGTGGCAACAATAATACTACCATTAAGTAATAAGCTAGAAAAAACAAGATGCATTAAAACTGCAACAAACAAAACAACATTATAAAATGATTCATTCTATCAACAAAACCATGAGTGAAAGGCTTAAGTTACGAATTCTGCTGTTACTTATTTATCTAACTGATATCTTAGACATGTGAGAAGTCGAGCTTCAAAACATGTATGAATAGTACTATCTTGCATTATTTAAAATGGATAGTTCAGCATGAGCGAAGAACCTTTCGAAACTGTATGACATGTATAGAATTACGAGAATTTCTGAAGAACGACATTATTGCAATATTTCCTTCTATAACGACTATGCCACCATCAGTCAGAATTCATATTTTAGTTTTCAAGACAATATATTGACTTTTATTTTCGAACAACTGACCGAGCAGGTACAAGCCAAAACAAAGTCACATAGAAAAATATAAATATTCAAGACAATTATATACAACAACAAAAAAGTTAATAGTATGACGGATAATTTGAATACGACAACGGATAACTTGGATAAGTGGATGCGGCAGTCTGAGATGCGTATGTTGAGTAATATGGACTCGTCAATGAAGCATATGATGGAGTAGGTGAACCATAATACATTGCAGTTGTTGGTGACCAATAATCTGCAAGAAAAATTGCATTCTAAATAAAATTATCAACAAGAAATCTAACACTTACTTGATGATGGACTAGATGTTACTGATGGGTCAAAAACAGTATCGGTCATTAAAAATGGTTTCGTATCCATAACGGACGCTTCAAGAAAAGACGGTATGTTGTTTTCTTCATCGTGTGTCAAATTAGAAGCTGGAAGAGTAGGTGAATTCGATACAGATACTTTCCGAGTACGAGCACGACGATTGCTAAACCATACCTAATAAACAACACAGAAACAATACTATTGCAAACGCTACAAATTATTAAACATACTTGAATACGATTTTCTTCAATATTTAAACATTGTGCAAGTCGTTCACGTGTAGTTACATCTGGATAGGGTGTATGAGAAAAAGTTC